CACAATTTCACATTTCTGTAGTTTACATAGAGATGATAAATGTATTGTTTTCAAAAACGTGCACTTTGAAACCCATTTTCAGGCCCCTAATACGCCAGTGTTGTGTAACTGAATGGCCAAGTTTAAATGAATAACATTTATTTGAAATCTTTTTCAACATCTTAAATGTTTTTACTGCCAGGTTTGATCAGTCTTTGCTGATTTAAAAGTATTAATTTCTTTCAGCAACAACAAAAAAAAAAATCATAAAAAATAAAAATGTTATAAAAAAATAAAAATTATATATATAAAAATAAATGTATAAAAAAAGAATAATAATTTAAAAAATGTCATTATAATTTAATTTAAGTATAAAAAAAAAGATTTACCCCACTTTTGAATGGAAAAAAATGAACACTCATTTTGTCCACAACATATGCACAACTTACAAAAGTGTATGTTGTACATATGTCATCGTTTTTGTGCAAAAGTGTTTGTTAATTTATGGAATTACATTACAGCTAACTGTATCTTTTCCATCTTGCAATGCATATTGAGATTCTTTCTGTAAAGAAAACAACTAATTAACAATTAATGAAACTGTATTAATGAACAACTAACAATTAATGAAAATGTAAATATTTCTTGTGTTATGGTCTGTGAGTGTGACTACTAGCCCAATTAGTAAACATATAGAAAATTCTTATTGTTTTGCCCTTGTTCTACAGAAATGAATTGTGTGGATTGTGGATGAGATGTGATGGTTTGATGGTGATCAAACTTAAAATTCCATAGTGATATTGTTTAGAAGGGAAAACCGAGCTAAGGACCAAAATGCCTTAGAGACTTGGGTCATTGACATTAAAGTGACCTGTTATGCTTTTTTGAATATTACCTTGATAGTTTTACCACATCAAACTATTGTTGGAGACCTCTAAAACAAAATTAGGAATCTTGAAAAAAGCAAAATACTGGCACTTTTACATAAAAAAAATATATATTAACCACCATCGTGAGTCGTGACAGCAAGTTTTAAATGTTTAAGTACCACTCATGTTTTCATCATAAATTGTAAAAATCTAGAATATACATTCTTTCTGTGGCTTGAGTAAAGTCAAAACAGCCTAAGGCCTGGTTTCACAGACAGGGCTTGGATTAAGCCAGGATTAGGCCTTAGCTCAAATAGGTCATTTAAGTAGCTTTTCTAAAGGTGCCTTAGAAAAAAAACATTACTGGTGTGAATCTTGATAACAATGGCACTGATAGTATTTAAGACATGTCAGTGCAAGATGCTTTGGGTTAAAGGGACACTCCACCCATTTGCATTAAGATTTCCATTGTTAGACTTAGAAATCCAGTTATACTATTGAATGGTCGTGCAACACTCTCTCATTTTCCCCTGAGACGAGAGAAATCTGCTATTTACCTTTTACACTTCCTCCGACAATGACGCAAAAACCGGCAGAAACTTTTTGAAAATATGGACGAAGGTACTGAATACGCATGCATTATGGAAAGGGTTGGGTACCGAAACGCGGTGCCAATAGGGAAGCGGTTCCGACATAAACGGTAGTAACCAGAATAAGAGCGAAAATTTCGGTGCACACACGCAAATTCTCTCGCTCTCTCCCTCGTGCGCGCACTATACGGTTTGGAGCGCAGTCTGATCCGGCTTGCATGCGCGCTCTTGGGGCCAATCCCAATTCTACCCCTTACCCCTTCACTTTCCCCTTCCCCTCCGTTTTGCGCGTCCACGTGAAGGGGTAGGGTTGTCCCAATTCTCTTTTGGTTGGAGGGAGAGGGCTAGGGAGAAGGGCCAGATAGCCCTTCAAACGAAGATTTTTCGGGAGCACACTTCAAACGAAGGGGTATGAGAAGTGTCACTGCTAACCCAGGCTGGCTGCCCAAGCGACAAAGGAGACCCATAAATTTAAGTATTTGTGGCTTTAATAAGTATTGTAACGACAAACAATGATTTGCTTTATGTTACATTCAATATTGTGTTCATATTTACGGTCAGTTTCTTCACAGAAACGTTTGTTAAAAAAAAAAAATCGCTAAAATTACTGTAGTTTGCTAACGATAGTCCCGCAACATATTTCCGTCGTCTCCGTTGTTTCCTGCGAACTTCACAAGATAAATGCAAGAAAATAGCTGTAACCCACGCGACTGAGATAACTGCAGCTGTCGACGGCATCTTGGAAGTTGTGATAAACATCGGCGCATCTCCTGTGACGTAGGCGCTAGCGACGACTTATAATGACGTTTAACGGAGGTGTAGTAGTGTCCCATTTCTTAGGGGAATATTTTCACCCCTACGCATTGCCACTCTGTTTCAAGGGTCAAGGGGAAGGCGAAGGGGTAGGGCTAGGGGAAAGTGAAGGGGTAAGGGGTAGAATTGGGATTGGCCCTTGCTCGCTCGCTCTTGCTCGCTCACTCTTGATACTGGCAGATTTTAAAGGTTCTATATGTAACTATTTTTATAAAATGAATCCTTTTTTTATTGCCTGTGTTTGAAGGGGTTGTAATCACACATTGCAACGATCCATTATGCCATTACCTCTGAAGGCCAATATTCTTATTTATATGCGAGGTCTCCGGGTCGGATTTCCTGCGAAATCCATCAGAAGTGACGTGCATGCGCGCTCCCGAGTCCCGAGTAGGGTTGGGTATCGTTTGAATTTGAACGATTCTGATTCCTTGTTTCGATTCCGGTTCCTAACGATTCTCGATTCCGATTCTTTTAAGAGGCAGGGTCAAAAAAGTTTAGCTAACCTTGCTAACCAACGACCTTTCTGAAGGAAATACTCCTTCTGTAAAAATACTCCTTTTGTCACAAATTTTGCATTTTGCCGAGATTTCGTTATTTTCAGAAAAGTGAAGCCACACTTTGGATCGCCGACGTAAGGTACTCATGTTCGACTCGCGCGGTTATGCCAACACTTCCGGTAGACGCTTCTTCGTTGGTGTTGTTCAGCGGTTTCTTCTTCCGCTCGGCGGACTGTGAATATCGAAACTAGGAATCGAAATTTTAACTTTTGAACGATTCCGGGAAAAACGAAAAGTTAGTCTCGGTTCCAATCGATACTCGATTCTCGATACCCAACCCTAGTCCCGAGCCTCTCTATCCTACAGTCTATCATGCGAACAACGGCACTTCAGCTGACGACATGGAGTCTGATAACCCCCCAAAACGTCCTGCCTCCAGCACAACACAGACTCCAACACAAACTCCACATAAATATAAAAACAAAAAAAGTTTTATCTGCTCAAGCTCGTCAGGCAAAACGTGAATCTGATCGACTCCGGACGAAAACGCGGATCGACGTAAACTCAAGTGAAATTACAAGATAAACTACAACATTACATGAATACAAAATAATGTTCCAGGATAACATTAGTATAACTTATTTTATTTACTAGATCTAACGTACTGACTAATGTCGTCATCCCACTACCATATTGTTTATGCACATTTCCAGACAAGTTCAGTACAGTATTGTTACTTCCTACGATCTTGCTGATACACTGAAACTGTTCAACTGTTTTCATTATCATATTATACATTCACCTATGTTGACATTGCTGATTGTGAAAGATATACGAATAGTTAGAGAAATGGCTTATGCTATATAACATCACATGTCGGCTAAATGCAGTTTATTGTACCATTATGATCATGGTACGAGCACAGAGCATTACTTCAACGTCAAGCTGATAAAAGTAGGCTATTATTGTACCTGCAGTGGGAGTTTACATTAGTTTCCAGCATGTGTGATAATTTCGCGTTGCGTTGAAAGTCTCCGTGTGGCTGGTAGAGAATGATTGCTCGCTCTTGAGATTGAGCACGAGCACGAGCGCTCTTGTTGCATTCTGAAACATCACCGCTAGAGGTCGCTAAAAATCGCAAACAGCGCCTTTATACAAATCTGGGCAAACATTCTTTTCTTTATGTTGGAACTACCCTTTGGAATCGGTTACCTGGTGCACTGAAGACAGTAAGAAGTTCAAGGTTCAACAAGGTCTGAAATTATGGTTTAGGGGCCAAATGTAGTTTTTATAATACTAAGTTTATTTTTTTTTATTTTTTTATTATTTTAATTTTTTTTTGTATAATATGTATGAATTTGGGTTATGTATGTGAATGTTTGATGTGTGATGTGTTGCCACTTGACTTCTTCCGCTGCCTTTATAAGGGACCACAATGGAAATAAGTCTTTGGGCTTTATTGTGTTTATCCCTGACTACTTTTGTATTTGTTTTTAATGTATGCAACAGTTTCTTACTGTTCTTCATATTTTTATATTTAAGTGGTCAAATAAATCTAATCTAATCTTTAAAGGCCAATTTATACTTCTGCGTAGGGTGCGCGCAGTAGGTACGGCGTAGCATACGCAGAGACGCGTCCCATACCGCGTACCCTTCGCCGTAGCCTGACGCGCACCTCCTCAAAAATGTAACTACACGTCGCGACGACGCGGACCGCAAGATCTGTGATTGGTCGGCTTGGTAGCATCGCATTTCCTCCTACACATTTCCGCACGTGCCTTCTCACGCATTTCCACACGTACCATCTCCTCCGACGTCTTCTCTCATTTCTGCTTTTCAGTTTTAGTAATTTCACTAAAATTAACTGTTTTTCCACCTCAATAAGCTCCAACTCCAACATGATCCGCTCTCTTTCAGGCTTGTAGTAACCTAGTCGCAACTCGAGCAATGTAAACAGTGGAACATTAAAACCCTCCGCCGCCAACTAGCGTTTCGGAGCAGTACTGCAGAGCAACCAAGACCTGAACGCAGAAGTATAAATGCTCACAAAGGAGTCGCCTACGTGCGTAGCCAACGCCGTTCACAACGACGCAGAAGTATAAATTGGCCTTTAGTAATTTGCGGGCATCAGGGAGCCGTTTTGAATATGCGGGAGACTCGTCTGTGAAGCCGCAGGAATATGCATGCATTTATCAATGGAAATGTGCGTTCGTTTTTAATTCCGTCTCACTTTAATACCTGTGTCTGCTCAGGGTGGTGAAGGAGGAGATCTCAGACGACAGTGCCAAGCTGCCATGCTTCAACGGAAGAGTTGTCTCCTGGGTAAGAAAACAACTGCTCCTGTTGCAGTGCTCCCTGTCACTCACTCAGCTGTATTTTTCGAATAATATTTGTTTTACTGAGCTTTCATATGGTGTCTCAACAGTTTTTGGATTTATGAGTGCAAACTGCACCGTTTGACTAAGCTCTGCCGAAGCTCCTCTTCCCTGTAGTGACATGTAACAGGCCTGTTTTGATTTATGTCACAGTGAATCTGTAAAGAGCACTAAGTGTGTGTGTGTCAGGTCCTTCACACGGAGACTGAAATCCAGTCTCGTCTAAAAGCCCTCAAAGAAAAGCAGGTGCTTAAGTCAAAAGGCCTGGACGAAACCAGACCCACTGGGATGGAAATAGTAGACCACTGTCAGGATGGCTTAAGGTCCCTTGAGAGGGAGTGTACAATAACCTAGCATCCATTAGCATGAAGAAAGGAGAAGGGCATACAATGATACTGTACATCTAAGTTGCTTTCCCTTCTCAAGTATATGACTTTGACTAACATTTAGCATACTGTGTTTTGTTGCAGATTGTTGATGAATTTTCCATTGCTGTGCTATTTGAGCTTTTTTAAAAGGGTTGATCTCTTCCTGTTCACTGTCAGACATTTACCTCTCCAACTTAAACTCTTCATTTAAATTATACTTGCGTAAATCCCAGACACTGGATATGTTTGACCTGAAGCATTGTGTAATCAGTTTGACACTTTTCAGTGAGCTCCACGAGTATAAAAAATCGTTGGGTAAAAAAAAAAAGTGTGGTCATAAGATCTTTTCCTATAGTTCCCTTTAGTTCCTTGTTTTTTTTATGTATCACGTTTCACTCTTACCTCAATCTTCTTTCTCTCTGTTAGCTGGTGTCCTCAGATACCCCTGCAGCCGAACCCCCAGCCCCTCCAGTAGAGGTCCCGTCTCAGCCCTCACCCCCCCCTCCACCCCTGCCTCCACCTCCCGCCGAGAGGACAGGGGGCATTGGAGACTCCAGACCCCCTTCCTTCCAGTATGTTAATCTGCATCTCTGTTTCTTGCCATGAATGTCATTTTTGTGGTTACGGTCTGTAGCAGCGCTCAGTCAGTGACTAACTTTACAGCTTTCCTTGAAGGAACAATTACTTTTTTTGTTTATTTGCTTTTCCAAGCTTTATCATAAAGCTAAATCACAAAATATGTGAAATATCATCAGACATCCTGGTTAAAGGTGCAGTAAGCGATTTCTGAGGAACACTGTTGATATTTGAAATCAGCCCAAACAAACACACCCCTCACTTCATGGCTCCGCACCCAGAATGCATAAACAAACAATCCAAAGAGTGGCTGTCGCTTTATCATAGCTGAAGCGAAGCAAGGAAGAGCAAAAAATTAATGAATGGTACTCAAGAATAAATACAAGCAAGAGTTTGGTTGTGAGTCGCCAGCAGCAGCTCCAGACAAATAACACTCTAAACTGTCCTGCTACTTTAGCTTACATTACAACAGTATATCTTGATTCTGTGAAACAGAGTAAAACCAATGTTACTCACATATGGAGCAGAAACAATGCAACCTTGGGGTCCGTTTCAGGCCTTCCCGCTTTAGTGTCTCCAGCGCTGGAAAGCTTTTCTAATATTAATGCGGGTCCTAAAGCTATTTCCTGATCACAACCCGTCTTTTCCAGTGATATTCCTCTGAGCTTTTCTCTTTTGTAATGTCTCTCAGCATCTCTCTTTCTACAGTCTTTCTTCAAATCTCCCTCTTGCTCTCTCCTCCTCCTCTCCCATCATGAGTGGACACGCTCCCTATTGTTGATTGGCTCACTCTCTCCTCACACATCATGAATGGACACGCCCCCTACTGCTGATTGTCTCACTCTCTCTACTCCCCATCATGAGTGGACACGCCCCCTACTGCTGATTGGCTACAAGTGTGGCTCGGTCAGATCCACTTTCAACGGCACGTCTCAGAAATCACTTACTGCACCTTTAAGGATTAAAAAGAAATGCTTTTAAGTTTTAAAATATGTTGCATACACTTTTTTTCTTTGTTGCTATAGTGCGTTATACAGCGTTCCGTAAACTAGCTTCACAGGAATAAACAGGAAAATATCAGTTAATGTTGCAGAATTAATCAATTATGAAACTCTGTGCATAAGGCACTTCTTACCAACCCCAAACTTTTGAACAGTAGTGTAAAACCTTTGCATGACACCCACAAGGTAATCCAATACGTTTTTGTGCAGAAAGTGCCTAAAACCATGACGACGTGTTTGTGGTGTCTGACATGTAACAGTAGAATTTAAGCTGTTAAATAACAATAACTTAAAAAGTAATCAGGTTAAAAATACAATATGATTTTGTTTTTAGTGTAACTCTCTTGCTCTTGGTGCCTTATCAGAGATTGGTTTTCTAGAGGCAGCTAGCTTTTAAAAATGTAAGCTTCACTCAGCTTGCAGAGATGTACAGATGTGTCTTGAATAAAGCATTGCATGATGTGTGTGTGTGTGTGTTTAGTCCCAACACTACAGGCAGCCGGGAGTCCTTAGATGATCAGACAGAGACGGAGTCAGTCGTGTCTTTCAGGAGAGAGAGACCTCGACCCAGAGAGAGCATAGAGCAACACGGTCAGTTCAGTCTCTGATTTGTTTGACCTAATAATTACTAATACAGTATTTCAGTGCGTTGTGTTCATTTTGCTGCTGTGTGTGTCAGTTTCCGGGCCGCGTATGAATGGGCAGTCCCGTATGGACCGACACCTGGCTGGATATGAGAGTGCCACCACAGTGATGAGCAGTGAACTGGACACCACAAGCTTCTGTGATTCAGACGAGGATGATACCATGAGCAGGTCAGAGTGTGTGTTGTGCTCGATTGAGGTTGGAAAATTGTTTTGTTCTTGAAGTCCACTTCAATCACATCGGTAGTTTTTAGGCTGTGTGTGTGTGTGATGTTTTATTTCTGTGCTCTGAATCAAATGATTGAACTGAAATTAATTGGATTTAGCATTTGTATTAGTAGAAAACCTGCAGTATTTTCAAATTACCGTGCTTTCCACCCTCATATCCCCCTGAGACGAGAGATTTATGTATTTTTGGTCTGGAAAAAAATCCTCTGATGACACAAAAATCATCATTCAAGCAAAATGAGTTTATGAATGTTTCTTTTATTTGACTAAATGTGTGTGATCAGGTTCAGCAGCTCCACTGAGCAGAGCACTGCATCTAGATTACTCAAACGCCATCGCAGACGCAGGAAACAGCGCCCCCGCCTGGAGAGGGTATGAAACAACCGTCTGACACTATTGAACAATTAGTTGTTGTTATTTACTGAGTTTTCTCTGTTGTATTATAGGCTTCCTCTTTCAGCAGTGTGACAGATTCAACCATGTCCCTAAACATTATTACAGTCACTCTTAACATGGGTCAGTGCCTGTTCTTCCGTGATCTCTCCTGCGCTGTTTATATATACTACTTGGTATTGATGAAGTATAAACTGTGTTTAATTCATAATGTGCTCCATACTCCTTGTGTTTGTTCTGTCCTATAGAGAAGTATAATTTCTTGGGCATCAGTATAGTGGGTCAGAGTAACGAGAGAGGAGATGGAGGAATCTACATTGGCTCTATCATGAAGGGAGGAGCTGTAGCTGCAGACGGACGCATTGAACCTGGAGACATGCTGCTGCAGGTGTGTGTGTGTGTGTGTGTAAAGAAAATATTCTATATAGAAACTTAAAGGGATAGTTCACTTTGAAATAATTTTTTTTTGGTATGTTTTAGCTTACCTCTAGGGCATCCCAGATGTAGGTGTCTTTGTTTCCACAGTATTTGCAATTTTGATATTTTTAGGTCAAACCGTTCTTGTCTGTCAGTCATATAATGGAGGTCTATGGTCACCACCTCAAAGAGCATGCACAGAGAAGTCCAAATTATACATGATTTAATGACTCGTAAATGTAAGTACACATTGATGGCCTAAGACACGAAACGAGCGGTTTGTGTGAGAAAACGAACAGTATTTATATCGTTTTTACCTCTTGTAACCACAGCCACGTCCAAGTGATCTGAGGGCGCGGGCGCTTCGGTCTGCAAGAGGTAAAAATGTCATCGTTACAAGAAGTAAAAACGAAAAAAATACTGTTCGTTTTCTCACACAAACCGCTCGTTTCGTGTCTTAGGCCATCAATGTGTACTTGCATTTACGAGTCGTTAAATCGTGTTTAATTTGGACTTCTCTCTGCATGCTCTTTGAGGTGGTGACCATAGACCTCCATTATATGACAAGAACGGTTTGACCTAAAAATATCAAAATTGAAAATACTGTGGAAACAAAGACACCTACATCTTGGATGCCCTTGTATAAAAAAAAACTAAACTATCCCTTTAAAGGGTTCTGTCAGGCGCTTCATATATATAACATTTTAGGAGTTCCCATCATTGGATCATTTTATGGATTTAATTTTAATTAATTAATTTTTGTTTTAATTCACTTTTAATTTTAATCAAATTTTATGAATTAAGCACCTTGTTTGTTACATAAACGTGTGTGTTTGTGTGACATAAACATACTTTATGACTAGAAAAAATGAAATAACCTGTTAAACATGAAAGTATTATGCACTTCTCCTTTTATAGAACCTTTTTTGCGTAAATCCTTGGGTCCTATATAGAACCCCATTGAAACTTTTATTTTTTTTCCCTAAGAGTATAGAAAATAAGTTATTAGTGTTTGGAAATCAGGCACAAAGTGAGACCTGCATATTGTATAATCTCTACTCGATGGGCAACCAGCCAGTCAGATGAGTGAGTTTTAATTCCTTTCGAACACAATTCAAATCTGAGACGATGTACTCAGACCACACTCCCAGCTTCAAGGCACAAACATTGGGAACATTTCCAAAGCAATTACCTCTAAACAAGAGATCTGTACTTTCACTGCTGCGGGGTTCTGTTGTAATGACTGGCTCTAATGTTTCTTCTCTTTTCTGTGCAGGTGAATGACATCAACTTTGAAAACATGAGTAATGATGATGCAGTCAGGGTCCTCCGTGAGATCGTCCACAAACCCGGGTGAGTCTGTGAGAATTTCCCTTAAAGTCCCCCTGTGGTGAAAATCAAGCTTTTAATGTTGTTTATGTGTTTTAAGACAGACCATGTGCAAATTCATAATTCGACACAATTGCTGAGTATTGAGTATTTGAGTATTTTGAAATCGCTGGTGTTTCTGACGTCACAAACTACCTTGTAACCATTTAGGTCAACGTGTGATCGGCAATGAGTGGATCTCTGAGCTGGTGTGAGTGAGTGGAGGCGGGGCTAATTTACATATTCATAGAACTGCGTATACTAAATGAGGCAAGGGTGTAGAGTTACATTCAAGCTATTTAAAAGACAAAAAAAGTAATTTTAGTGATCAAAAAATAGTTTTAAGGAATACAATTATTTGTTTTAAGGGTCAGAGATTGCAGATTCTACCCGACCTGAAAAATTAGGGTTATAACGATACCTTTATGTCACGATTCGATACATATCATGATACTTAACTCACGATATGATATTATTGCGATACTCCAAGACGTATGGTAAAAGGTTAGCAAAAAATGTACTGTTGATTAAAATGCTAAATTTGATATTACATTGTAGGTTTAAATGAATATGCTTGGACTCGGTGCTTGTAACCCAATGACAATGGTGACACCAGAATAACAATAATTATGATTCTGAAGCTGAAAATACAGAATTATTTTAGACGAATATGCTTACTTTCACTGACTAGATATATTTGAATTAATCTTGACCACATTTGGCATTATCAGGACCCGCAAATATTCCCCCATTGCATTATAATACATTATAATCAACATTATACAGTAGTTAACTGTAGTTCTGACACTTAAACTCTGAAAACTTTAATTTTTTCTCACAGTAATTTTTATTTTGGAGGGACTATCCATGATACATATTGTCGCTATCCACAATATGTATTGTTGCATTTTTGTATTGCGATAAATTGTGGCATCCATCTATAAATGTTTAAATGTCCAGAGCAGTGATGGGTGTAAAGCGTTACAAAGTAACTGTAATTAAAATACTTAAGCACTGAAAAGATAAAGGATTACTGTTCATTTTAAGGTAATTACAGTTACTTAGAATGTACTTGCATTACATACTGTAAATAAGTTCAACAGTTCTGCATAAATCAATATCGCCTAAAGGTAAAAGTGAACGCCGCCTCTTTAAAATCGTTAGCCGTAGTGCAAGTCAAGTGCGCTCCAGTTGGTTACGTTTTTTGAAGTGGGAGATGTCGGCAGAAGCGAGTGGCTGTTTTACCAAATGCACGAGTAATCTACTGAAGCACCTCACAAGGTATGAATATGTATCCTGCAATGTTATAATATCACTTTAATTCTCTTAGACCCATCACTCTGACTGTGGCAAAATGCTGGGATCCTGCCCCTCAAGGCTATTTCACCCTGCCACGCAGTAAGTGTAGTTTTAATATTATATACATCAAAAACTATGTAATTGTAATATTACATAAAATGTATTTTAAAGAATAAATACTAGGGCTGTCAAATGATTAATTGTATCCAAAATAAAAGTTAGTGTTTACATAATATACGTGTGTGCACTGTGTATAATTATTTTATATATCTATAAATACACACATGCTTGTATATATTTAAGAAATATTTTCATGTAAATACTGTAAATATATTTATATATATATAATTTATATTATATATAAATATAAATATTTTACATATAAGTAATACATGCATGTGTGTGTATTTTAGGGATTGGCAACGATTAATCGCGATTAATCGCATCCAAAATAAAAGTTTGTGTTTACATAATATATGTGTAATGTGTATAATTAATTTGTATATATAAATACACACACATGCATGTATATATTTAAGAAATATTTGCTTGTATATACTTTATATATATATTTAAACATAATTAATAATATATATACATAATTAATAATATATATATATTAATATATATAAATATAAATATTTGATATATTAATAACACATTTTTCTTAAATATACACATACATGTGTGGGTATTTATATATACAAATTAATTATACACACTACACACACATATATATTATGTAAACACAAACTTTTATTTCGGATGCGATTAATCGCGATTAATCGTTGCTCATCCCTAGTGTATTTATATATATACAAAATAATTATACACAGTGCACCCACATAACTTTTAAACACAAACTTTTATTTTGGATGCGATTAATCACGATTAATCGTTTGACAGCTCTAATAAATACTTTTATTCTGGAGGGATGCTTAAATCAAAAGTAGCAGTAAAGACCATGTTAAAAAAATCTTTTGAACTTTCTATTCATTAAAAAAAATTGGAAACAAACCATTAAGCAGCACGACTGTTTTCATCACTGATAATAATAAATGCATCATATTAGAGTGATTTCTGGAGGATCACGTGAGACTGAAGACTGGAGTAATGATGCTGAAAATTCAGCTTTGATCACAGACATAAATGACATTTTAAAATGATAAACATTTATTTTAATTTGTAATAATATTTCACAATATTACTGTATTTTAGATCAAATAAATGCAGCCATGGTGAGCAGAAGAGCCTTCTTTCAAGAACATTTAAAAGTCTTGCCATCCCAAATTGTGTTTTTAATGATGATGAAACGTGTTTATCAATCATCGTTCCCCATCTTCTCCGTCAGATGAGCCAATCCGGCCCATAGACCCGGCGGCGTGGATCAATCACTCGGTGGCTCTCACAGGGGTGTTTCCGTCCTACCCGAGCAGCACCATCACCTCCGGCTCGTCCGTCACTGAAACTGAGCGTAAGAATCACGCTTAGCACTCAAGTAGCCTACACACACTCTCTAAGCCCCATTATTTGAACTCTTTTTCTCTGTCTGTAGGCTTCGACGAGTTTAACCTGTCTCTTCGCTCCGACATGGCATCTGTTGCGAAGGCCATGGCATCTCCAGAGTCCGGTCTGGAGGTCAGAGACCGAATGTGGCTGAAGATCACTATTCCCAATGCTTTCCTGGGTCAGAGACTTCTTCATTTTTTCCTGACACTGTTTTGCACACACTTGCCGCATCCCAATTCGCCTGCTTATACTATGAAAAAGTACATACTTTTGAGTGTCTGTCTACCAGAAGAGCTTTGAGACGTACTACTACATCATAACTGTTTCATGCCAGTATCAGTCAGATTGTTGAACGTAGATAAGATGGATAGATAGATAGATAGATAGATAGATAGATAGATAGATAGATAGATAGATAGATAGATAGATAGATAGATAGATAGATAGATAGATAGATAGATACATACTTTATTCATCCGTTAAGGAAATTCAAGGAAAATAAGCCAAGTCTACCTATTCTTATGTGTAAGTGTATGGTGTGTATGAATATTTTATGTCATTTTTAAATGTAAAATGCTGGTTATTGAGTCCATTACAAGTTTCCCAATCAGGGACAATCCTCATTTAATTTGATGTCACAATAGTGTAACAGTGCCCACCCCCTTTTTCTTTAATTTTTTGGGGGCTTTTTTTCCATAGGGAATTTAAAATAGTCTTCTTTCAGTGTTTTAAAGGAGTAGTTCACTTTTGAAAAAAACTTTTGCTGATAATTTACTCACCCCCATGTCATCCAAGATGTCCATGTCTTTCTTTCCACAGTCGAAAATAAATTAAGGTTTTTGATGAAAACATTCCAGGGTTTTTCTCCATATAATGGACTTACATGGGAACCAGACGGTACAAGGTCGAAAAGACAGTTTCAGATGCAGCTTCAAATGTCTTTAAACGACACCAGACGACGAATAGGGGTCTTATCATGCGAAACGATCGGTTATTTCAAAGCTTATTCCAAAAATGTAACTTTTCTAAGGACAAATGCGAGCCTTGCTCTATTCTGTGAGGCGCGTTTGTAACGTCACGTAATACGTAATTACGTTCAAAAGGTCACAGGCGACGTAGCCGGACGTTTCGCATGATAAGACCCTTATTCATCGTCTGGTGTCGTTTAAAGACATTTGAAGCTGCATCTGAAACTGTTATTAACTGTATTTTCGACCTTGTACCGTTTGGTTCCAATTGAAGTCCATTATATGGAGAAAAATCCTGGAATGTTTTCATCAAAAACCTTTATTTCTTTTCGACTGAGGAAAGAAAGACATGGATATCTTGGATGACATGGGGGTGAGTAAATTATCAGCAAAAGTTTTTTTCAAAAGTGAACTAATCCTTTAAGCCATGACCAGTCAGCTGGTCACAACATTACTATTTAGGACGGATTGTGTGTGAATTGGGACGCAGCAACTGTTCCCAAATGAACGTTGTACAATGACTATGAGACAAATGGGCCTTATATCTAATCTCGTGTTTGTTTGTGTGTGTGTACAGGTTCAGATGTGGTTGAGTGGTTGTACCATCACCTCGAAGGGTTTCAAGACAGACGGGAAGCTCGTAAATATGCCAGTAACCTACTGAAGGCTGGTTTCATCAGACACACTGTCAACAAGATCACCTTCTCCGAACAGTGTTATTACATATTTGGAGACTTTAGTAACTGTGAAAATTGTAAGTAGACCTGGCGTTTCTTTTAGGGGCTGTTTACACCTGGCCACTTCATGCGTTTTCTCAGATCGGAATAGCTATCTGATTTATAAAAACGACTCCGTTTACACCTGGTCACATAAATGTGTTTTTGCGAAACGGATATAAATCCGATCTTCAATTCACGCGCTATATGCAGATTTAGTAAAGGGCACGTCACCGAAAGCAACAGATATGAGTCGAATTTTATTGACCATCGGCTAATTTCAAAATCAGTTAAGAGAGAGCGGCAACAGAACTGGTAAGACCATTTTGTTTCTTTACTTTTAATGAAGATGGTAGTGTTAAGCATCTGCGACTTACTTTCACTTTGATTTGCGATAGATTGCGGCGCGTTGGCTTGATAGGCATTCAGCTGCTCATCTGAGGTAATGCGCGTCATATCTGACTAAAATAGCATGACATATAGCCTGTAACATGCTCTCACACGTTTATTTTTTAGCATTTTTGGGAGTAGTAACATTTACTTATGTGGTTTCAAGAACCAGATACATTTACACCTGTCCAGTTTCGTCTGGAATGCGGCCCAGACCACCTCCTAATGTGGTTTGAGCGATCGGATTCAAAGTCTTAAATGCATTTCGGGGGGCATAATGCGTTTCGGGGATAGCTATCCGATCGCAGAAAATGCATGAAGTGGCCAGGTGTAAACGGCCCCTTAGAATAATATTTGAAATATGAATATGTTCTTTTTCACTTACACAGACTCTCACTACTTTTTCCTCTCAGACATGGCCAACCTTTCTCTTAACGATAACGATGGATCCAGTGGTGCTTCAGACCAGGACACTCTGGCCCCTCTTCCACTGCCAGGGGCGACCCCGTGGCCCCTGCTCCACTCGTTCACGTACCAATACCCTCACCCTTATTCCACCCAGCCGCCTCCCTACCATGAGCTCTCCAACTACAGCTACGGCCCGGGCAGCGCAGGCAGCCAGCACAGCGAAGGTAACCAGCTACACTCACCCTCTATTACCCCTTTTCCACCAAAAAAAGAACTGGTTCGGAACTGGTGCTGGTTCAAAGTTGGTTCGGAGTTGGTTCAACTTGCGAACCCATTCAGAACCTGTTTGTTTTTCCACTGACTAGAGCGCCCAGGGAACGACGTTGTTACGTCACTGTGTACGTCGCCATACGTCTTAGCTAGAAACGCTTGCAAATGCAACATTACTTTCGTATTATTTCTAACTCGTGTACCAAGAAAGCTTTAAAAACAATTGAAATATGTAAGTCTTTTAATCTTTTCGTTTGGTATGTAATCTTTTCTGATAAGTTATGTACCCCTGTCTTGTGTCTTTTTTTCTTTCCGTTTGTTTGTTCTATATTGTGACTGTTTTCTTCTTTGCTTATAATGTCTTCAATAAAAGAAATTGAAAAAAATAGAAACGCTTGCGTTAACTTCAAGCATAACAATTACAAAGGCGGACTCCATTGTGTTTCTGCAAATGTTTCTCCTGATTTGCGATCCTTTATTATGGTCAGAAAAGATGTTCAGAACACATGTAAACCCGCCCCAGCCCCCGACGTAAGCATGACGTGGTAAAAGAACGGTTCTAGTCCAGCAAAGAGTTGGTGCCGCTTTGGAACCAGTTCTCCTGTCCGAGAACCGGTTCTTTGGCTGTCGAAACACTAAGGGCCAATCCCAATTCTACCCCTTACCCCTTCACTTTCCCCTTCCCCTCCGTTTTGCGCGTCCACGTGAAGGGGTAGGGTTGTCCCAATTCTCTTTTGGTTGGAGGGAGAGGGCTAGGGGGAAGGGCCAGATAGCCCTTCAAACGAAGATTTTTCGGGAGCACACTTCAAACGAAGGGGTATGAGAAGTGTCACTGCTAACCCAGGCTGGCTGCCCAAGCGACAAAGGAGACCCATAAATTGAAGTATTTGTGGCTTTCATAAGTATTATAACGACAAATAATGATTTGCTTTATGTTACATTCAATATTGCGTTCATATTTACAGTCAGTTTCTTCACAGAAATGTTTGTAAAAAAATCGCTAAAATTACTGTAGTTTGCTAACGATAGTCCCGCATATTTTCGTCGTCTCCGTTGTTTCCTGCGAACTTCACAAGATAAATGCAAGAAAATAGCTGTAACCCACGCGACTGAGATAACTGCAGCTGTCGACGGGATCTTGGAAGTTGTGATAAACATCAGCGCATCTCCTGTGACGTAGGCGCTAGCGACGACTTTATAATGACGTTTAACGGAGGCGTAGTGGTGTCCCATTTCTTAGGGGAATATTTTCACCCCTACGCATTGCCACTCTGTTTCAAGGGTCAAGGGGAAGGCGAAGGGGTAGGGCTAGGGGAAAGGGAAGGGGTAAGGGGTAGAATTGGGATTGGCCCTAAGGCTGAATCCCAATTCTCTGTCTTACCCCTTCGTCTTACCCCTAGCCCTTGTCCCTCGAAACATACCCCTATGAAATGAGACACCACTCGGTTACGTCATCTTGCATCATCCTTAACTGGCGTCTGTGTCACCCGGGGCAACAAGTGTTGATCACAAACTTCTCGAAACTTTCAAGATGCCGTCAAAATGTCCGGGATTGGGCTTTTGCTTTCCGTCTTCACCATTCATTATGTTTACATGCACAAAGTGTTGTTTCAATCGGACTGAATTCATTCATTTAAATCGGTGAATCTGAATGTATTGTTGATCTAATATTCCCGTGTTTTCGTCTCAGTCGGGATCCGTTTAAAGCTGAATGCATCATCTGAGAAGCTGATCACGTATGTATCAGTGTCAAATAATGTACACATAATGAATGGCGACTGTAGAAAGCAAAAGCTGAATCCCGGACATTTTGGGTGATCTTGAAATGTGGGACTGATTGTGCAAAACAGCAATGTAACGTTAGCATAGCCTAGCGTAGCAAAGTAGCTTTTTTTTAAAAACTTTAAAAAACGTTTCAATAAACAACATAGTTGCAAATATATATGTACATAATTGTGTAGAGCACAAAACAAGACGGTCATATTTTTTTATCAATCATTTAAGCGAAAAAACTTGTGCATTTCTTACCCCTTGGTTTCAAGTAAGGGCCAATCCCAATTCTACCCCTTACCCCTTCACTTTCCCCTTCCCCTCCGTTTTGCGCATCCACGTGAAGGGGTAGGGCTGTCCCAATTCTCTTTTGGTTGGAGGGAGAGGGCTAGGGGGAAGGGCCAGATAGCCCTTCAAACGAAGATTTTTCGGGAGCACACTTCAACTGAAGGGGTATGAGAAGTGTCACTGCTAACCCAGGCTGGCTGCCCAAGCGACAAAGGAGACCCATAAATTGAAGTATTTGTGGCTTTAATAAGTATTATAACGACAAATAATGATTTGCTTTATGTTACATTCAATATTGTGTTCATATTTACGGTCAGTTTCTTCACAGAAACGTTTGTAAAAAAAAAAAAATCGCTAAAATTACTGTAGTTTGCTAACGATAGTCCGGCAACATATTTTCGTCGTCTCCATTGTTTCCTGCGAACTTCACAAGATGCAAGAAAATAGCTGTAACCCACGCGACTGAGATAACTGCAGCTGTCGACGGGATCTTGGAAGTTGTGATAAACATCAGCGCATCTCCTGTGACGTAGGCGCTAGCGACGACTTTATAATGACGTTTAACGGAGGCGTAGTGGTGTCCCATTTCTTAGGGGAATATTTTCACCCCTACGCATTGCCACTCTGTTTCAAGGGTCAAGGGGAAGGCGAAGGGGTAGGGCTAGGGGAAAGTGAAGGGGTAAGGGGTAGAATTGGGATTGGCCCTAAGCTCGCGAAAATTCTTGGTCTTAAGGGGTATATACCCCTTCACCTTACCCCTACCCCTAGATCAAAATGAGAATTGGGATAGCCCTTCCTCTCACGTGAACACGCAAAACTAAGGGGAAGGGGTAAGACAGAGAATTGGGATTCAGCCTAAGAACTGGTTCGCGCGCAGGCACCGGCTCCGAACCGGCTCTCAAAATGCTTTGGTGGAAAAGGGGCTAGTGTGTGTGTGTGTGTGTTTGGACGTACCCGACACAAATATATGGAAATGTAATAGTCAATAGAGTCAAAGTCCACATAGGGCCAATCCCAATTCTACCCCTTACCCCTTCCCTTTCCCCTAGCCCTACCCCTTCGCCTTCCCCTTGACCCTTGAAACAGAGTGGCAATGCGTAGGGGTGAAAATATTCCCCTAAGAAATGGGACACCACTACGCCTCCGTTAAACGTCATTATAAAGTCGTCGCTAGCGCCTACGTCACAGGAGATGCGCTGATGTTTATCACAACTTCCAAGATCCCGTCGACAGCTGCAGTTATCTCAGTCGCGTGGGTTACAGCTATTTTCTTGCATCTTGTGAAGTTCGCAGGAAACAACGGAGACGACGAAAATATGTTGCGGGACTATCGTTAGCAAACTACAGTAATTTTAGCGTTTTTTTTTTTTTTACAAACGTTTCTGTGAAGAAACTGATCGTAAATATGAACACAATATTGAATGTAACATAAAGCAAATCATTATTTGTCGTTATAATACTTATTAAAGCCACAAATACTTAAATTTATGGGTCTCCTTTGTCGCTTGGGCAGCCAGCCTGGGTTAGCAGTGACACTTCTCATACCCCTTCAGTTGAAGTGTGCTCCCGAAAAATCTTCGTTTGAAGGGCTATCTGGCCCTTCCCCCTAGCCCTCCCCCTCCAACCAAAAGAGAATTGGGACAACCCTACCCCTTCACGTGGACGCGCAAAACGGAGGGGAAGGGGAAAGTGAAGGGGTAAGGGGTAGAATTGGGATTGGCCCATACTCTACTGTTCATAGGTTTGGGGTTAGTAAGAGTTTTTTTATTCAGCAAGAATGCATTAAATTGATCAAAAGTACAATACAGATTTTTATACTGTAAAAAAAAAATCTATTTCAAAATGATGCTGTTCATTTGAGCTTTTCTACTCGTTCATTTCACATTTATTCGTTTCTCTATTATTGATTGTTTCCAGCTGCCCTGTGGAAAGAGGTTTCTGTGTCCACGGTACCTATTAACAGCTGTTCTCTCTCTCTCTCTCTCTCTCTCTCTCTCTCAGGGAGTCACAGCAGTGGCTCCACACGCAGTGACGGAGAGAAGAGAAGGGGAAGTAAAAGTGTATCCGGCAGCACGGTGGGCGGCAGCGTGCGCGACGATAAATCTCCCAGCGGGGGCGGGGCTGACTCGCGCTCTGGCAGCGGCAGCGAATCAGATTACTCGGTTCGCAGCGGCCTGAGACGAGACCACGGCTCAGCCACGCCCAGCGAACACAGTCGCTCGAGCCAGCGCTCGCATCACCGCGTCCCGTCCGCTCACCTCGCCCCGTATCCGCCTGGAATCCCAATCCCTTACAACCCGATGATGGTGATGATGGTGCCGCAGCACCCACACCTAGCACTTGGAGCCCCACACCCACAAGCCCCTGCTCTGCCGCCCCACCATGCCATGCTGGCCTCAGGCACTCCAGGCGGTCCTCCTGGAGCTCCTCCGACCCGAGATTTGGGCTCCGTCCCACCCGAGCTCACCGCTTCCAGGCAGTCGTTCCACTTGGCCATGGGCAACCCCAGTGAGTTTTTCGTGGATGTGATGTAATGAAGGATGTAACCGTCGATGCGCGCTGAAGGAATAAATGCTGAGAGGTTTGCGATCACATGACAACTGTGAGTTCTGCTCTGTGACGGACAGAGATGTAGTTTACTGTATCAGTGCAGCTCTTTAGAGTTAGTGTTTGTTCTTGACGGTAGGAACAGGGTTTATGGAAGGGTAGGAAGTCTTGCATAGCAGACTTCAAAATCCATTTTTTTGTTGTTGTTTCAACCACAACACGGTCTGGCCTTCTGAACGACTTAAAGGGATAGTTCACTTTGAAATTAATTTTTGGTATGTTTTATCTTACCTCAAGGGCATCCCAGATGTAGGTGTCTTTGTTTCCGCAGTATTTTCAATTTTGATATTTTTCGGTCAAACCGTTGTTGTCTGTCAGTCATACACTGGAGGCTAAGGGGGTCCACCTCAAAGAGCATGCACAGAGAAGTCCAAATTAAACATGATTTAATGACTTGTAAATGTAAGTACACATTGATGGCCTAAGACACGAAACGAGCGGTTTGTGTGAGAAAACGAACAGTATTTATATCGTTTTTACCTCTTGTAACCACAGCCATGACAAAATGATCTGACGGCACGGGTGCTTCGGTCTGTGCATGCACGCGCCTACGTCACTCTTTGTTTATACAGAGATTTCGGAAGTTTTTCCTTTCACTAAACATATTTAGATATACGGGAAACTGCAATGGAAGACGATTTCGGTATATCTAAATATATTTAGTAAAAGGTAAAACTTCCGAAATCTCCATGTAAATATTGAGTGACGTCACACGCAAGCGATCACTTCCGGCGTAACATTGAACTGATTCAGTTCGGTTCAGTTGGACATTGCACAACTGATTCAGATCACTGTGGTTACACGAGGTAAAAACGATATAAATACTGTTCGTTTTCTCACACAAACCGCTCGTTTCGTGTCTTAGGCCATCAATGTGTACTTACATTTACGAGTCATTAAATCATGTTTAATTTGGACTTCTCTGTGCATGCTCTTTGGTGGACCCCCTTAGCCTCCAGACTGATAGACAAGAACGGTTTGACTGAAAAATGTCAAAATTGAAAATACTGTGGAAACAAAGACACCTACATCTGGGATGTCCTTGAGGTAAGATAAAACGTATCAAAAATTAATTTCAAAGTGAACTATCCCTTTAAGAATTGGCTCATTCTTTTTCCGAGTGTTGTTATTTTCGTTAAATTTTCCCATAAGTTGCTGGAAGGCCTTTGGTTAAGCTCTAAGAAGGCTTCTCGTGACTTTCCAGGAAATATTTTCAAGTATGCTTTACACACCTTTAAAGTGACCAACACTAGGACATGAAACCCACTGGAACGCAAGCAAAAATATAATTTAAATTAGGGCTGTGAAACGATTAATCGCAAGTTTGTGTTTACTATTATACATAAATATAAATATTTGATATTATTAACCCATTTTTCTTAAATATATACATGCATATGTGTGTATTTATAATATATATATATACAAAATAATTATACACACTACACACACATATATTATGTTAACACAAACTTTTATTTTGGATCCGATTAATCGCGGTTAATCGTTTCACAGCCCTACTTTGAATGAATAAAAGCTTTAAAAACCCTTTAAAAGGATTCAAATGTTTGAAACAGTTGATGAGATGTATCTTTACATTTTTTTTTTAAGTAATGCTCTCCAAGGAATTCTGAAAGCTTTTCTCTAATGTACTATGTACTGTATGCTTTAAAGATGGCCTTTGTAAACTGTCTTTGTACTGCTGAATGGAGCCAGGGTTTATGGAAACAAATATTTGGTTGTCATTTTCAGAGATTTCAAGAGTTGTTTTGGTTCCTGGTCTTAGAAAGCAGTTTCACCCTTTCAAAGACCCTCACAAATAGGCCGACTATTAAATGGCTGTACTAAAATGGTACACACAGAGGAAGTTTTAACCTCATAAAAGGTACTTTCTGGGTAGAAGTGCTTGTTTTTCTCTTTTTTTTTTCTACTCCAGAACTTTTTTTTTGTCTCTTTGTATGGCTGATAATCATAGCGCCTTTTTATATGAGTTTATAGATATGCAAGTCCTACATAACGACGAGTCTCAATGGAGTGCCATGTTTAAGTGTTACATTTTGAATATCATCAGATACTGTCACTTTTGCATGTCTTTAATCCAAATAAATGTATGATAGAATTAAGTCTGAAACTAGTCATTTGTTCTTGTCAAGTGTTTGTTCTTTGAAGCCCTTTGAAGCTGCACAGTTTGTTCGTGATCGCCTACCAGGGTGGGTGTGTTCCCTTTGGTCAGTTCGGGATCATCTTATGTGGGGCCCGATGCGGTCGCACCCGTTGCACCGCCCTAAGGATGGCCCTGATCACTACTGTATCAATGTTATATACACATACATACAGTATATAGTTAGAATCCCCTCGGGTTGTTGAAATTAAGAGTGAATCAGCTCGAAATTTAGATTTTTATTCAAACAAAATGATGTGTGATGCGTTGGTGCTGAAATGGTGTGATTTCTAAATTGATTGCAATACTTAATGAAAGGAATCCCTTTTAAAGGCTGGTGTGGTTCCCCCTGCCATTTGACATGTTTTATGATAAAACACAAACTATATACAATTTTTTTCTTGTTCTTTTTTGAAATTCTACTTTTCCACAAAAAAACAACAACATGAGGGTGAGTAAATATTCTTCAGAATGTGTATTTATGGATGAAATTATAACAATATATATATATATTAGGGCTGTGCAAAATTAATTGCGATCAATCGCATCCAAAATAAAAGTCTGTGTTTACATAATATATTTGTGTGTGCTGTATAGAATTATTTTGTATATATATAAATACACACACATGCATGCATATATTTGAGAAAATGTGTTATTCATATATAAAATATTTATATTTATATAATATAGATTATGTATTTATATATATATATATATATATATATATATATACAGAATTTAAGCGCAAATAATTCTTAAATATGTACATGCATACATAGGTATTTATATATACAAAATAATTATATACAGCACACACAAATATATTATGTAAACACAGACTTTTATTTTGGATACGATAAATCGCAATTCATTTTTAACTCCTCATAAAGTTTTGTTCAAACATTTTGGACCATGGCAAGCAGACTGAGACAAAAAGAGGACTAAAACGAAGATCAACATCTTTCGAGATGCCGAGAGCTCCATGTCCATGACTAATTTCGACTTGACAGAGTCGAGCAAAGAAAAAAAGCAAGAGCAAGAGAAGCAGCGCTGCTTTACCTCAAGTTTAATTTGTCTGAGAAACTGACCTGTGTGAGTAATTCAGTGTGTAGCTCGTAGCTAAAACATCCGTCAGCTTGACGACAAGATCCGTAATTCCGCTTGATGCTTTGCGTCATCAATATACGCCTTTGTTATTGTAAGAGATTAGCGACCCCTGGTGGCCAAAAATGACATACTGTACGTTTAAAGCTACACTGTGTAACTCTTTTAGTGTATTCTTAGCTAAAAACACTTAGTTCTTTCAAAAATATATGTGCTCATTAATGTATATTTACTTCGTTCAAGTAATAAAGTATTCTCGTGAGTGTATAATATGCCATTGAAAATACATACGGGTAAGGGGTTCTTATGTCGCTCGCCATGTTGCCCCTCCATCTTGAAAGTACAATCTTGAAATTAGCCAAAGAGGGACATACCCGTTAATTCAAGCTTTTATACATAAAAGTTTTATGATAAAACACAAACTATATACAATTTTTTTCTTGTTCTTTTTTGAAATTCTACTTTTCCACAAAAAAACAACAACATGAGGGTGAGTAAATATTCTTCAGAATGTGTATTTATGGATGAAATTATAACAATATATATATATATTAGGGCTGTGCAAAATTAATTGCGATCAATCGCATCCAAAATAAAAGTCTGTGTTTACATAATATATTTGTGTGTGCTGTATAGAATTATTTTGTATATATATAAATACACACACATGCATGCATATATTTGAGAAAATGTGTTATTCATATATAAAATATTTATATTTATATAATATAGATTATGTATTTATATATATATATATATATATATATATATATATATATACAGAATTTAAGCGCAAATAATTCTTAAATATGTACATGCATACATAGGTATTTATATATACAAAATAATTATATACAGCACACACAAATATATTATGTAAACACAGACTTTTATTTTGGATACGATAAATCGCAATTCATTTTTGCACAGCCCTAAATATATAGTAGTTTAATAATATAGTTGGCTCTGGAGACCATCACTCCAGTGTCACATTAATTTTGTATTGTTTTATGAGGAGTTAACACACCGCCCAAATGTTGACAGGTAAGATATACCTTTATAAATTACAATATTTGTTGTTCAAAACAGTAGTTTGATATTTTTGATATCTTGATGTTTGGTCATTGTGTTCAACCGTAGAAATGTCCAATAGTCTACGTGTATAGGCCTACAGAATATGATGTAAAAGAAATATTAACTCGAGTTTAAAGAATGGCAACTAGCCATATTGATGTTGAACGAGTGAATCGCATTATACAGTTTCTTTGAAAACAAATCAACAACAATAGCTCTTCAGAAGAAGTCTTTAAAAAATTTATAAGTACTAAGTACTAATTTCATATTTAAATATCAATTGTGAAGATTATAATACACATTACTTTTTTTAATTATCATGAAGTGTGTGTGTGTGTATATATATATATATATATATATATATATATATTATATTTAATCCTCTTCTAACTGTTCTTATTCTAACGAAACATAAATAGTTTTTTTTGTATCCGTCTCGTTTCACTGCGTTACATAAAGGAAACTTCAGTCGCATTGTAGCACCTCCCACAAAGCGTCTAGTTATACAAGCTGATCTGAGATCAGTGTTACATGACTCACATGATTACATGATCAGTAACCTGTGCAGTCAATCAGGGAACCTCGTCGTTTGACTGGTTCTTCTTATTTTGCGAGCTATTTCACACGTCATTTGAAGTGTCGCGTCGCGTCAGGAGGAAGGTCTCTGGTCTGCGGTGCGGTCAAGGGCGAAATATAACCGGTTCTGTTGCTGCATTGTAGGACGCTCTCAGGACACAACCGAATTACCTCTAGCCGGACATTGTTCTCTCGTTGTTTCTCGGCATTTAATCACGTTTTATTTTGTTTTTGATACGTAGGCAAGTTTGAGACTCACAATATAACAACAAAAACCGTTTGACACTTCCGCTTCACGGGAGATAAACAACGTATAAATCGAA